CCCCCCCTTTTGTGGATTTTTCCTCTTCCCAGCTGCAGTGCTGGGCACCAGAATCCCAGCACAGGGATGTCACCATCTTCCTCCCCTGTCCTTTCCCTGGACCAGGGACCCCCACCTTCCCTTTCTCTGCTTCCCCCTGCCCCGAGGTGCACAGCTGCCTTCCACCTGGGGCTTGTGCTGTCCCAGTTGCCTCCTGCTCTGGTGCTGCTGGTGCACCCCCCCCGAGGTTTGGGGGCGCTCCCCACCCCCCTCCTCCCCACAAGAGCCTCCCAAAAGGACTGGCTGTCATGGGAGAGGGGTCCTAGCGCAGGGGAGGGGAACAGGACCACTGCTGTGGTGGCCGGAGCCCATGGGTGCTGAGCTGCCTTCCAGCCCTGTAGTCCCCATCACCCTGGAGGGGCTGAGCTGTGAGGTAAGGGGCTGGGGGGTTGGGGGGCTCCCTGCTACAGTGGTGGGGGGAGGGGGGCAAAGCTGGGGCTGGCTCGAGCCCCCTCCGTGTGCTCTGGAGGCCTAGTGGTGTATCGTGGGCTGCACTGGTGGGGCTCGGCGGGGGGGCACAGAGGAAGCCCGGACACCTGCCGGGGCTGAGGGATTCCCGGGTGGTGCAGGATGGAGCCCAATGCCTCCCCCCATCGGGGTGCTGTACCGGCCCCGCACCATCGTGCCGACTCCGGCGGGACCTCCCGGGGCCAGGGCTCTGCCCTCGAGGCTGCCGGCGCCAGGGCCCGCCGCTCCCAGGCGGCCTCGGGAGCTGGACAGAGAAACCTGGGGCCGGTGGATGATGCTCCCGGGCGTCTCGGGGACGGCACGGGCCTGGCGGCCGGAGCGAGAGGCCTCGGAGCTGCCCTGGAGCCTGGGGCGGTCGGGTGGGGAAGGCTACGGCCTGTGAAGAGCCCGGGGGTGACCTGACGGGGCCGCGGCGGCCTGCGGGGCGGGACGTGGCCCCGGGGGCGCGCCTGGCCCCGACGGGGCCCCGGCGGATCCCTCTTCGCTCAAGGCCGCGGCGCCTCGCGACACCCGGAGGCGCTTGGC